TTTTAGTCTCTACAGTATTATGTAAATTTTAAGAAACTATATATATATATATATATATATATATATATATATATATATATATCCCCTAAAAACCATTGCAGAGCTTTACATTTCAAATGAAGTGGTGTTTGAGTGGAGCTCCAGACATGTTGTGTAGATGTGCAGGATTGTTGCTCATATCGTTCTGTCAGACAAGAACTGAGACGTGTCAGATGTGCTGGAAAAGGCCAACAGATGTAGTAACTGCATCTTTCCAGAAGGCTGTCACCACTAGGCGTGAGTATTCATCCACTTAAGTATATCATTTGCAAATGCAAACGTGTGTCAACCCACTTACTATCAGGTTACATCTGCAAAGATGTAACCTGTGTTCATCATCTGTGACGCCCTGGTTTTTATCCGTTAGTCTGCTCCTGCTAATGAGCTCAGTGGGCGGCTAAGAGCAGGAACAGAACAGCACGGAGTTGACAGAGGGAGGGAGGGTGGAGGACTGCTGACCTGTGTGACATTCGTGCACATTGATGACAATTGGACATAAGATGTGATCACATCGGTCAATGAGAGGGGAGGACGTGAATATACACAACATATGAGCACAGGTGGCCGTGTCAATCAAACATGCAGTACAGTGTGTCAACTACTAACAGTAGTGGATGGAGACTGTTGGCCTGCACTAGATACTTGCCTATAATAAAAAGCTGTTATTATAATTATAAATATTAGAGACCAAGACTCGTCCCAGATCCTTCGTTGAGTCCGGATCCGAACTCGAGAAGACAGAGCTCTCTCCGTGGTGGCCCCTAAACTCTTTGACCACCAGGGGAGCACCCTGTCAGGTTAGAGCTGCCCAGATGCGTAAATCCTTTTCAAACACTGAAAACCAGCTTGGCAGGTTATCTAGGCACAGTTCTGATTTTGACTTGTCTTGTGTTTCATGTGCTGTTATCACTAAGATATTTCCAAAGCTTTTGTGTTTTTATTTTATATGGCTGATACTTGTTATTCTCAGCATCATTTAATGGTGGGATTGGAACTTTGTACTTTCAGCATCTGTACAGCTCAGGTTAAGTTGTTTTAGCATGTGCTTTATAAATAGACCTTGACATGGCTTGACCTGACATTAATGTTTATCACAGAGCAGTAATATTGTAGTCAAACTGGAATGTTAGGAGTACATTGTAATTGCATTTATAGTCTGCCGTTCATTTGAAGGCTGGGGTTTATGTAAGTAAAGAGTAGGAGAACATTAGTGTGTACCTTTCTATGAAGTATCAGCACAGCCCAGACATACAGTCGATGGTTGTTTATCTTCCATCAGAACAAATACACTTTAAGTGTGTTTTTGAGCAGCTCTGTCTGAGGGTTATGTAATGC